ATATGGTTCTAGTAAAATATGATTTTATCTGAAGCTTCTTTTTTTTTCTCTTTCCAAAAATGGTTCTACCCTGCTAAAAGCAGTTCATTCAACGCACTTGGTTTACTACTGCTGATTAATTCTATGTCTGACCCCTTATTCCTATCCTCAACTTCCTAATTGTATATATAAATCCTTATTTGTATCCTTAATCCCTTAATTCTATATCCAACTCTTATTTCTATCCTTAATCTCTTGATCTTATATCTAACCTCTTAACCTTATTCTTAACCCCTTAACCTTATCCATAGCCTCTTAAATCTATATCTAACCCCTAAACGCTATAATGAAGCACTAAATTCCATAGGTTGCATAGATGACTAGATTTACTGTCAATAGAGTAAAAGCAAGCACTTTCTCTTCTATATACATGAAAGGCCCATCGCTGTTGTTAGATGTTGAGAAGATCCTAAATGAAAAGCATTAATTTATATTGTATGATTGAATTTACTAATAAATTGATCATTTACATATACCTAAATAGATAAAAACAGTAATTTCTTTTATAACACTCAACTTACCATTGAATTGATTATTGATATGTACATAAATAACGAAAACAGTTCATTCATTTTATAATTTAATACTTGCCATTGAATTGATGATTGAGATATATCTAAACAGATAAAAACAGTAGTTTCTTTTATAACATTAAACTTACCATTGAACTGATTATTGGCATACATTTAAATGAAGAAGAATAATTTATTTCATAAGGGTGTGGGTGTGAGTCTGGGTGTGGGTCTGAGTGTGAGTGTCGTTAAAGAGAAGAATAACACCAACACTTACACCCACACCCCACACCCTCAAGAAAATATGGAAACAAAGACAGTCAGCAGGTACAAAAGGAATGAAATTGCTTCACGACAATGCTCGATTCCATACCCATTTCGATCTTATTAATTATTCAACAGAAGAACGTATTATTATAATGCCTCATCCGCCATATTCACCTGACCTGGCACCATGTGATCATTGGCTAAATGATTATATCAAGTGTCATTTTGCTGACCAACCAAATAAAACGTCATAGGCTCGTGCAGCTTTCAAGGTGATGAAAAATATTCCAAAAGGAAAGGGTGTGGGTGAGTGTGTGCGTGGGTATGGCTATGAGTATAAATGCGCGGGTGTGGATGTAAATCATTGCTTTATCATACACATCCACATCCCACACCCACATCTACGTCCTCTTTACTCCTTGGTGCACCATTTGAGAATCTGAAACCTGGTCCGAAACAGCAATCAACAAGCTATTCGAAGTGAAAACTAACTGATCACAAGATCGAAGGAAAGGAAGCGTCTGTTTGGGATGTTCGAAGGCGTTGTGCTGGTTGCTATGGGAAACTTAGGCAACAACAATTAAGAGAAGCAAGTAATGCAACAGTAAAGAAAACAAAAAACCTTCTGTTCAGATTGTAAAAATTCTTTTTGCCTTGATTGCTTCAACGAGAAGCATCACACTATGCAATAAACAATTCAAACAATGGCAAGGCAAAGTAGATGACACGTTGCGTGTAACATTCTACTCAAGAGCAAAGAAAAAGAAAGTGTCTTCCCGTTAAGTTTCTTGTTAAAATATGGTGCGTCCCACCGGTGAAACTCATCGAGCTGAATACGTTAATGAGTTTCATTCATTTCTCAATTCAATACAACACCAAAAGTATTTCATAGAAATAATCTTGAACATATATGTTAAAGTTTTAGTTAAAGATATTTTCTCAGATTCTTATCAGCCGAATACAAAATGATCCTTTACCTCTTTTTTGGATATACATTAGATTAAACAAAATAACATAAATTCAACCTGAGAACAGAGTTTCTGAGACTCCACTATTTTTTCTTTCATTCTTCGTCATAGGTAGGCTTATGCATAACTTGCCAACCAGCTATGAGTAAGATATCGCCCAGAGGGATAGACGACTCTCCAGCCACTAAGATTATCACTGACTCACCGTGATGCTTAGCGACTACCTTCTTCTGTCCTCATTCTCCCGCGAAGTAACCTCCGGTCCGATAAATACGACATTATCGTCATTGATCCTCTAGAATCGGAAACTCCGAAGTCTTCCTCGTTTTCGCAAAACTTATATGAACTTCCATTATTCAAACTACAAACATTAAAATCAAGCTACATATGAATGCGAATTCCAAAACCATCTACAAATGATATTCATAAAACCAAATCCCAAATAATCGTCCTGAAAACATCTAACTCATCCATTTCAAAATTGTTCAAAAAAAATGAACCGTGACGACTATATAATCCACGCTGCTGAGACCAAAGTCAACATTATCATAGTTGCATCCACACCCACACCCTAAAGACCATCGTTGGACGATATCGATAACGACTCAGATCAAATCTGAGATGGATTGTGATATTTCTTTTAATTTTAAAATATCGAGTCGAACGCATCTAGATGCAATTTAATTTTAATTAAATTGCGTCTAAACGCAAAAAATGTTACACTGGGGACGCGTTTTGAAATCAAATCGCGTCCAAACGTTAATAATGTTTCATCTGAATTGCGTTTCGAATGTAAATCAAACGCAGTTTAGATGCGTTTTGACCCAAAACATATTTACGTGGGTACTCTTTACCTTGAAAATTATTCATTTCTTATGTGCAGTTCTTTTCAATAGTGTACATAATTAAAAAACATTTAGAAAAAAAACCTAAAGACGAAAGAAAAAAAAATGTAATTTTGTCGCCTGATAACAACAAAAACAAGAGAACCATTTGATAAAAGAAAATCTATCACATATTAAATAATAGGTGAAACTATGAGCTATGCATCATTTTAATTCTGTCGATTTGGGTGTGGGTGTCGGTGGGTGTGGGTGGGTGTGTGGGTGGGTGGGTGGACGTGGGTGTGTGGGTGGACGTGGGTGTGTGTGTGGGTGGGTGGACGTGGGTGTGGGTCCTTGTTAAAGAAAAGATTCACACTCTCACTCACACCCACACCCACCCACACGCCCACACCCACACCCACACCCACACCCACACCCCACACACTCACACCCACATACCACCCACATCCACCCACACCCACACCCACACCCACCCACGCCCGCCCACATACCCACACCCACACCCACCACACCTACACCCGTACCGACTCGACCTTGGAAAATTTTTTCGTGACCCGATCCAACCCGAGTTAGACACTGTAAGAAACATCTTATTTGTAAATAGTAATCAAGTCAAGTTGTTTTACGACTGATCCCAGAGATTTCACAAATAATGATAGAGACGATCGAAATGAGACTGAAATGAGTTCTTCAGAAAATTTTTTGTTAATCACTCTAGATAAGACATGCGAGATTCAGAAACTTATAGTACTACATTGATGCAACACTTTCGAAAATAAAACGAACAACACACTATTTTTCAGCAGCTTCATTCAGATTTCTTGTTGATGTGCGTCTTAAAAAGTTGTGAATTGAAGCACAACGAAATACTTTTACATAAATAGATTGTGGAAATGACCATGTGCTACTGAATAGACTTTAGCTTTTTGTCAGTATGACAATACGATTCGTGGACTGTATCGAGGTTTTCGATATATCTGTTCTTTAATACGAATAGCAGCAAAAACTAGGTTTTCGAAAATTTTACTGAAATGATCTCAAATTACTTTGAAATAAAAAACGAACATCACCGCTGAACTCAGCATGGTCGAGTACCTATAGTATGACGCATTTAAGGTTGATTCAGAGTCATCTGACTGATTTCAGGGGCCTTAGGAAAATGTCTATAGCTGCTGAACGGAGCAAGTTATCGAGCTCAGCTTTGCGTAGATCGAAAGAGAACAATTTTTTCTATCGAATGAGTTAATTGAAGTTCAAAATCCAACAAAAAAAAGCGTGTCAAAAGCTATGTTCAAAGTATCCAGCGGACTTCCATCCTATTGGTCAATTACTGACCAATGAAAATTTTTCCATAGATTTACGTGCCTAGTGTCCTCTCCCTAATGGTGAAAACCACAGCTCGCTAGTTATTTGCATTCTCGCGTTATTCGACTCACAATCACTTGCCTTCTATTTTAAAATGGATAGTAATTCGGATGATTTTGGACTTTATCTATGGGAACTAGAAACCAATAAAAAAAACCATTAACATGTATGACGGATCGTCAATAATTAATAAATAATGTTAAATTTTCACCTGATACTCATCTTGTAGCATTAGCAAGTTTTGATGAATCAATTGAACTACGGTCAAGTCGTACAGGTACTTTTCTGGTAACATAATGTGAACATGTTCAAGCTGTTTATTAAACAGCATGGTCAGTAGATTCTCGTTTACTTGTATCAGATAGTGTTGATAGTACATTAAAAATTTGGAATATTGAAAAAAAACATATTTTATTTGATTTATCCAGTCATGCTGATGAAATTTAGGCAATAGATTATAGTCAAGATGGACAAAAATTTGCTAGTGGTAGAAAAGATATAGTTTTGAAACTTTAGAAAAGAAAAAAACCTATACAAAATATTATTCAGGAATTACAAACATCTTGTTGTAATTTTTTTTTTTTGCTTTTCAGATAATTACCACATGATCATTAATATAAAGTTTTATTGGAGAGAATGAATATTACGTGTTCGATTTTTCTGCTTCAGTGACGTCTCTATTATACGACATTGTTCGATAAGTGTACACAATCGATGTAGATATTTTATGAATCACATGCTCTTTCGTTTTTTTTTCTCCTCATACTCGACAAATTTTTTTTCCTAATTCTATCCATTTACCTTGGTGATGTATATATGCATATATTTATTATTACCTTCTATTATAGTAAGAAAAAAAAATCTTTTTTTAGCAAATAACCCTCATATACTAAACGATTTTGTCTTTTTTAACCCTAATTTATTGTTTTTTTGATTCTTTTTCATTAGACAAGAATATTTAATGATATTTGCTGATTTATATTATTTGAAATAATTTTCTAAATATGAAATTTGCCGAACATTTATCAGCACATGTTACACCAGAATGGAGTAGTCAATATATTCGATATGATGATATAAAAGAATTACTTGCACAAGCAGTTGCTAAAGCACAACCGTTTATTGATAATAATGATAATGTTTTATGTGAACAATTTTTCTTACGTGTTGACGAATATTTTTTTCAAGTGAGAAATTGAAATAAATCATTATTTTATATATTTGTCGTTCTTTTTTATTTTTTTTTTATTTATTATATAGTATTGTGAAAAAGAAGCAACAAAAATTAATAAGTTTTTTGCAGAAAAGCTTGCTGAGTAAGTAAATGCATTATCACAACAAAAGAGCTACGTTTTCAATATAGAGTACGAAAAAAAATGTTTTGATATTTTTTCTATTTATCAAGCGTCGATAAGAATCACTTATTTTCATAGTCATTAGAAAATTAATCTTGAGCAAGGTTCTTCTTATCTGTTTGTTTAAATTTATGATGTCATGCCGGAATTTCATTCCTAGTCGAACTTCCAGTAAATGACTTTTCGGTTCGAGAATCTACCAAAATCGGATAGATCTGTTTGGTTTTATTGAGAAAAGATAAATACTACATATGTTTTTTTCTTTTAGAGCAATAAATAGATGGGAAGCTGTACAAAACGAAGTTAACCAATTGGAACCAACTCGTCATCAGGGATTGCACAGTTTAAAAATACCAACTACTAATACAGTTGCTGTTGATGAGCAAAATGATGATACAAAATCAACAAAAACAAATCATCATTCTGTTCATCCAGAAAAAAATACAGCACTTGCACCATTAACATGGGTTTTACCAGAACATTTCGTTGAAAGAACACGTGAAAAACAAACAAAACATATACAATATCGAAAACGTAAAGATTTAAAATTAGCTTTTAGTGAATTTTATTTAATGCTTGTTTTATTACAAAATTATCAAACACTTAATTTTACTGGTTTTCGTAAAATATTAAAAAAACATGATAAATTATTTCAAACGACACGTGGTGAAGAATGGCGGTAAATTATTTATATATTCGATAATTTAATTTTTTTTTTCTTTTTATATTTAGAAAATTAAATATTGATATAGCTCCTTTCCATACATCGAAAGAAGTTGAAAAATTAATTATTGATGTTGAAACAAAATATACTGAAAAACTTGAATCCGGAAATCGATCACGTGCAATGAAACGTTTACGTGTACCACCAATAGAAGAAAAACAATCACCAACGGTTACATTTCGTGTCGGATTTTTTATTGGTAATGTTTTCTTTGAAAAATGAATTAATCATTAAAAAAAGATGTTTTTTTTTCTAGGAATAATTTGTCTTTTAATTCCAATTATTATTGCTCTTGGTACAAGTCTTAATGTTAATCAATCAACAAAACCACTTCCTTGGAGACAAGCATTATTTCTTTATCGTTCAACATTTCTTATTGTTCTTCATATAGTTCTTATCGGTATTAATGTATATGGTTGGTCATCATCAGGTGTTAATCATGTATTAATATTTGAAATTGATCCACGAAATCATTTAACTTATCAACAATTATTAGAAATTGGTACATTTCTTTTTGTTCTATGGTTTTTAAGTTTTGTTGGATTTATTTTATCATCTTATTTTGATTTTTTTCCATTTATACAACCATTTGGTTTTGTTACAATGATTCTTTTATTTTTATTTAATCCAACACATACACTTTATTATGATGCTCGATTTTGGCTTTTAAAAACTTTAGGTCGTATTATTTGTGCACCATTTTACCGTGTTGGTTTTGCTGATTTTTGGCTTGCTGATCAATTAACATCTCTTGGATTAATATTTTATGATATACAATATTTTTTTTGTTTTTATATTTATAGTGTATCATGGTGGCCAATCTATTCTGTATCGCCACAAATTGGTTTTTTTTGTTACGGTTGGTCACAAGTGCTTTTACAAAGTTTTCTTATGATAATACCTGCATGGTTTCGTTTTGCTCAATGTTTAAGACGATATCGTGATACGAAACAAAAATTTCCACATTTAGTTAATGCCGGAAAATATGCTAGTGATTTTTTTGTTGTTGCTACAAATGCAGCACGTCGTGCAACAGCTGTACACTATATTCATCGAGCATCTAATCCATTTTTATATCTTTGGATTATTTCAGCACTTATTGCTTCAACATATAAATTAATATGGGATTTTAAAATGGATTGGGGAGTTTTGGATAAAAATGCTGGAAAAAATAAATTCTTACGTGATCGAATTATTTATCCATCAAAAATTTATTATTATGCAGCTATGATAGAAGATATTGTATTTCGTTATATATGGACTATAAATATATTTCTACATTTTCATACAATTTCAGCTGAATATAGTGATTTAATTGGTTTTATATTTGGTTTAGTTGAAATTTTTCGACGTTTTATATGGAATTATTTTCGTTTAGAAAATGAACATTTAAATAATTGTGGACAATTTCGTGCTGTACGTAATATTACAATTGTACCACTAGCAAATGTTGTTGATTATAAAATATTAGAAGATATAATTGATAAAGATAAGAGTATTAAAAATCGACATCAATCAAAACACCATGATTTAATTGAAAAAACTATTAATCAAGAAATAAATAATAATGAAACAATTATAGTTCATCCACAACGAACATCATCAATAAATTCAAATCCAATAACCGAAGAATTAAATAGAAAATTTCCAATATTATCATCATCAAAACCTATTGATGAATCTTCAGAGCGCATTGTTTTTCTATAATGATTTATTTTTCTTATTTCTATGAATCAATTTTAACTATTATCAAACATCCCAAATATGATTAATGTGCATCTGGTATTTTCTCTAATCATATTCATTTTTATATTTAAAGTGTATATTTTTGTATTATAATAAATCTTAAATATTTTCTCATCAAAAAAAAAATGTTATATGTATAGTCTCTGGGTGTAGGCTATACTCTTATTTCTAAACATACCCACAGTTACACACCTCATCGACACCCGCACCCAATTATATTTGATGAATATGTATTGATGGTGGATTCTCGTTTCGTCGAAAGCTTAATTGATTTTCTTGTTTCGTCGAAAATTTTGATATGTCTCTTTTTATCATCATTCTTCTTTCGTCGAAAATAAAAATTTAACTGTTCTTGTTTCGTCGAAAATGAAATATAATTAGATTAGCTAAAATGAAACGATTCATCTTGATTGTTCTGATTGTCTTAAAATGTTCTGTTTCTACATAAATTGATTAAACTCTTGAGCTAGTAGAAGAAAAAGATATATATGAAGAAAGGTTTCATCTCACTGTTCATACTATATTTAATTTGAATAAAGAATAATGTTAACTATTGTTGAGAGTAAACGAAAAAAATCTACATTACTATTTGATAATTATCGTTACACACAAGACAAAATTAAAAATACCACGATTTATTGGAAATGTGCAAATCGTTCTTGTTCTGGTCGCGCTCTTCAACAAGATTCAAATCCACCAAAAATGACCAAACCACATAACCATGAAAGTAATGAAGTTCAATGCAAAGTGGAAGAGTTTAGAATGAATTTAAAACGACGTATTGAAGATTCACTACAACCAATTAAAAAGATTTATAGAGAAGAAATAATAGCATTACATACAACATCGCCACATGTTACACCATTTACACCAATGTTTCATGAGATGAAAACTTCGTTATATAATGCAAGAAACTCAAGTTATCCATCTGCTCCACGTGATATTAATGATGTTAAAATTGAAGGTATATGGAGTAAAACTTTAAATGGTGAATTATTTCTTTTACATACATTAAAACATTCAATATTTGGTACATTAGAATCTCTTAAACAACTGTCAGAATGTGATTATGATCATTTATTTTTCGATGGAACATTCAATTCATGTCCAAGTCCATTTTACCAATTATATTCTGTTCATTCAGTTATTAATGATTTATCAACACCAAAATTGTATACTTCATTATCTGACAAACAAGGTCCAACTTATATATCACTTTTTAATTCTTTATTAAATTTATGTCATGTTAATGGTATTTGTCTTAATCCAAAATTTGTTACTATAGATTTTGAACAAGCTGCAATTAATGCTCTTAAATTAATTTTTCCTAATGCTATTGTTAAAGGGTGCAACTTTCACTTTAATAAATATATCTATACTAAATTACAAGAGTTAGGATTTCAATCTGCATTTATTAACAAGAAATCAACTGATATAAATGAAATTAATGTTAGAAATCTTTAAAAAAAAACATGTGCACTCGCATTCATGCCACCACAAGAAATTAGTAAATTATGGGTTATGATAATGGATGAGTATCAAGATATTGACAACATCGATGCATTCTATGATTATCTAACAAATACCTGGATAGATAATGATGCATTATTTGATTATACATTATGGAATTATTATGATTTTGAAAGTTTACGTACAAATAATAACCTTGAAGGATGGCATCATAGACTTAACAATGATTTAAATAATGTTGTTCATCCACATTTTTACATGTTTATTCGTGCAATTCAAAATGATTATGCTTATAATTCTGCAATATTATCGCGTTATGTACAAACTGGTGCATTACCTCCACGCAAAAAATTATATGTTAATCGAAACGCGCGATTGAGTAATTTAGAAGAACGTTTTAAACAACATACATTAATATTAGATGAGTATCTTGCTAAAGTCATGCAATTAATAGGAATAAAAAAATATTAGTCTTTTTTGTGATACATAGTTTTTTCTTGATAGTTTGCTTTTTTTCTGTACTTACGCTTATTATATAATTAATTATTTTTTGATAAAAAAGTTTCTATTTGTTATGATGCTACTTCTACTTAGTGGAAAAACACATCTCATTGATCGATATAATCAATCTTCTATCAATTAATTAGAAAAAATTTTTCGGCGAAACGAGAACAGTCATTTTTTAATTTTCGACAAAACAAGACTGAGAGAAAAAGAAAAATTTGACGAAACAAGAAAATCAATTAAGCTTTCGACGAAAAGAGACCTAACCATCTGTTCATAGAAAAATAATTTTTTTTTTAGCAGACTATAAGCAATTAAGATGGGGTGGCCACTACTTTTGGTATGACCTAAGTATAAGGCAACAAAACGACTTGCTCATATCAAATGCAATGAAAACTGAAAGAGAGGTGTAAGTGTGAGGTTTTTCTTCATCTTCACTTACATTTTTATATAATTATCAAGCCAACAATGGATTATTTTAACGCAGAAAAAATGTGCCCTCTTTTTTACACTAACAAAGCGATGAAAAAAATGAATTTCATTTGCGTAAAAGACAACTCTACGGACGTCATCGTTTTTAGACTCGCTTCCTTCGTTAAAAACAAAATGTTTTTGTTAGTTGAAAATGTCACAACTCCACGTGTCAACGAATAAAAGCAGTTTTCTTTCTTTCGGTTCTGTCTTACTCGACTCATTTTTCTCTTTTCATCAAAAAATTTTACCTGTCACCTATAAAAAATACGAAGAGAGAAATAGATTCACTTGCAACTATTTATCTGAAGACGACACATCGTTGTGCAAATTCAACGTAAGTAATTTAATGAAATTAATACAAACTGAAACTTATTTCATCTCGTGCAAATATATGTGCCTTAACAATATACTTCTATACCCAGGTCGATCATTCCGACCAGCGGAAACGGCAAATTACTGCATTAATTTTGGCCTTATTTCGCCGTAATCCATCATACCGTATTACGAGCCATTTCTATCGCTAGAAAACGTCCGTTGTTTTCTTCCGATTTTGCTTCCGTAACCTGGTATGACGGATTATGGCGCCGTCTATCGACATCTTACATCGTTAGTCGCCATTCTATAGACGTTTCAGGTTTGTGGGCACCGTTTAAGGGAAACAACCGTTTAAGGGAAAATATGGACACCATTGTAGAGGCACATGGAATCATTCAATGGTGACTGGTTTAGCACAAAAAGCTAGCCATAAATAGAATATATGGACTTTTGAAAAATAGAATTATGTATTATTACTTCTGTTTTTATCATAATATATTCATTTTTGAGATTTTTAAGATCACATTTAAATGTTCAACTTATTCTACCGATTTACTCCTGTGTTTTGATTGAGATATTTGTTTAGTGCCGAATTCAAGTTATCCTATGAGATATGTCGACTTGTCTCATGAGATAACTCGAAATATTAAGAATAACTTGCTCAAACCTACGAGGCGACTTATCTCATAGGACAAGTCGAGTTATCTCATAGAATAAGTCGAAATACTAGTTGAGCGAGTAAAAATACTTCAGTTAAAAGAAGCGACTTATCCTATGAGATAAGTCGACTCTTGTGACTGAACTACTTTTTTCCAGTATTTCGAGTTATCCTATGAGACAAGTCGACTTACCCTATAGGATAAGTCAAAATACTAAGTGAACAAGTGTAAATGTCTCAGTTGAAAATAGTGACGAATCCTGTAGGATAAGTCGACTTGTCTCATAGGATAACCCGAATTTTTGGCAAAATGGAATGTCTCGATGACAAGCTACATCTGTTTAAATTTATAAAAAATTCTGTATTAATTTATTTTTTTTCAATTATTGACATATTTTTAAAAGTAATTTAATACACCGAGATGTGTTCCAATTCATGCAACCAATCAGATTTAACATTTGTGCCTCTATCATGGTGTCCGTATTTTCCCTTAAACGGTTGTTTCCCTTAAACGGTGCCCACACAGGTTGTTTATAACATCGTTTTATTGGACCTGGGTTATTATCTTTTTTTTTTGAGATATTGGTATATGTTCTTAGCACTGTAAAAAGTGTAGGAAAGTTTCACGACACTTCATAGTTTCCGAATATTACCTATCATTAGATTTGTTGAAACACTGCATAATACAATGGTTAAGTTCGAAAGACATTTCAAACGTACTTTTTGAAGTTGTGTTATGAATTCTATGATATCAGCTAGAGTTTCTTTTATAAAGAACTTTAAGTTCTTATCAATCGCATCAAAAAAACTTTGAATCAAATAAGAATAGACTGAGGAACAGAATATACTAAGATCATTCATGTTGCAGTAAATTCATCTAGAGAAACCCATCGTTCTTGGCATTTATTAAATTTTCTTTTACCGTACACATAGTGTAATATTTTTTGATGAATAATGTTTTCTTGGCTACGAAGTTTGAAGCATAGAAAATAAAATATCTGTTTGTTTTGAAGATGAATATTACAGAGAATAGATATAGTCAATGTTTTTATTAGTTATACATAGGATTAATCATGGCAAACAATAATCATCAAATATATAATGATCATGGAAGTTATACTCCTTATTTTGAAAAGAAATTGATTGAAGAAAAACGTGAAGATGGCTATTGGATTGAAGCATTTCAATTTGATAATCAAAGTCCTATTGGTTTAGTAGCTTATGGATTGAGTAAAGGACAAGTCAATTTTTATCTAAATCCATGCACAATTGTTGAAACAAGAAAAGTAATTCCTATTCAAAAGTTAGCAGGTCCTGTAGCCATGGACCAAGCTGATATCACAGGCAATGGACTTAATGATATTATTATTTGTTATCAATATGGTAATACTATGAAAGATTGTGATCCTGAAGGCGGAAAGATTGTATGGTTAGAAAATTCAGGACAGAAAAATGATCAAAACTTATGGACGTCACGTTATATTGGAAAATCTATAGCGATGCATAGACTTAAAGTTGGTCATTTCACACAAACTGAACGATGGGAAATTATAGGTCTTCCTATTGTAGGCAAACCATTTGATTTACTTTCACCAGTACCAGTACTATTATTTCGTCAACCTGATGATGTATTAAATGCTAAAGAATGGCCTTGTGAAATAATTAATGAAGATTTTTTTCATCTAATTCATGATGCAACAAGATTTAATGCTAATCCATTAGATAATCTTCTTATTGCATCACGAGAAGGTATTAATTGGCTTTACTTTGATGATAAAATTCGAAAGTGGACAATTGAAAATATTGGAGAAGGTGAACAAGGAGAAAAGCAACAGATACCTTATTATGGTAGTGGATGTGTGGATGTAGGAAGAGTTGGAAATGATTCTTTGGCTTATATTGCTACTGTTGAACCTTTTCATGGGAACGTTGTTGCCGTCTATGTCAAAGATAGTAACAATAGTTTAAAGCATATTCAATGGAAAAGATATGTCCTAGATGTTTATGGATATCCTAATACACATGGAGAAGGTCCAGCTCATCATGTCATTTGTGCTGACTTTGATAAAGATGGAGACGATGAGTTCTTAGTTGCACTTCGAGGACCATTACCAAATCAAGGTGTCTACTATTATAAACCTATTGATATCTCTCGTGGTTTATTTTCTAAATGGAAAGTAAGTGATGACTCAGCAGCTAGAATTGCTGTTGCAGATTTCAATAATAATGGCCTTCTTGACTTTGCAACTATTGGCTATTATGTTCCTGGCTATTATACAGCTGAAAATCCTTCTATTAATATTTATTACAATCGATTTGGTAACAAAAATGTACAAGACATCAAGGAGATACAAGTTACTAAGCAAAATAATGAACTTCTATTCAAAGTTCCAAGACCACACAAAGCATTACAATACGAAATGATACCATTTATAGCGGTAGAAGATATAAGTTTATCTTTAGAAGTGATACCACCTAATAGTTTGCGTCAAATCGACAAGAATACTTATATCAAAGTTCTTTATGGAATTATAATGTGGACAAATTCTTCTAAAGAATTATCTCAAACTGTAAATCATTCGCGTACCTTTGTCTGCCAACCAAAAACTGTTTCATCTCTTGCCATATGCAGTAATGAGAATGCAATAACAACTGGAAATGAAGGTGCACTTTTGATTGTATTGAAAATGAATGAAACCATGGATATTATTCATCGATTCGATTCTATTGAAAAAGTTACTATTGAGAACGTCTTACCAGAATATTGTTCTGAAGAAACTCGTAAACTTAGTTTTCAATTTACTCAATCTGATAAACATGATTTGGGAAAGGAAAAATTCAAAGGTCATGAATTCTATAATATGAAAGGTTTTGATATTAAATTTGCTGACAATGATGAACATCTTTGTTATATTCAACTATGGGCTGCGAAACAAGGTACAAACTGTGTAATGCACAACTATTCTGACGCTTTCTTCTGTGAAGTTAATGCTTGTATTGTCAATAGTACTGGAAAAGGTGGCATGCAGTATCTTATCAACTCGAAAGAAAACTATGACCCACTCAGCACGCTGAACTCACAATTTCAGAAGTTAGAAGTACCTTCTCTTTATGAACATGGTCCTTTATGGGATATTGATGAACAAAAACAACCAGTTTTACGAAAAGATGGTACTGTTGTATATCCGTGGCACAAATGGCAATCTGACACCAATGATTCATCGGTTAAATCATTTGATATATGGATGGCTTTTCAATTCAATGCTCATTTATCAACAATACCTTGAAAAAGGACCAAAGCAAATTTCTAGCTTATATATGCACAATAAATTAACTGACTGTTCATTGAAAAAATATCAAAAAATAACTCTTCTCTTTTATCTTCATTCATAAAGTGCTATTTTCTAGAGATATTTTTCCTTTGTTTTTATTATCATATTAGTTTCCAAATAAGCTTGAGTCATACAACTTATGTTCGTTTCGACCAATATGAGAACATCTATTTTAGAAAATCTACACTCAATGCTCACTGATAAGAATACTATCTTGAGTGTGAGGTGAGTGCGGGCATAGGCATGGGATGCGCGTGTACTTCTTTTTTGAATTTTCACAGCCGCACTCACACGCACACCAACACACCCATACACCGACATCCACACCCCATAGCCTTCACCCTACTAGTATTTCTGTCTTATAATTTTATTTGTTTTTAAGTAAATAAATTCTGTATTTTACAGACAAAAAACTTGTTTTGAAACAAGAACTTTTTGGACTGATCGCATGAAAAGAAGACCATTTGAAGTGTCAGGATCAAATGAAGAACGACCGTGCGTGACAGTGAAGTCTGCAGAAGAAAATTGTCGTTCCACTTTAGCAGATGTTACAGGAAGCCATCGTGATATAACATTATTCATTAAACATTTTATGATCAACAATCGAACTAACTTTTATTGAAAACTGAAAAACTATCATAGACAGGTGACCTGTCTGGCCTGCAGTAGGCCTGAAAATTACGGCCTGAGTCTGCCTGATGTAGACAGGCTTTACGACCTGTTTTAGGCTCTGATAGTTATTTTGTTTTTATTTCGTTGTGATATCATACTAGATTTCTTTTGATGCTGTTTCGAGTTCTTTATGAGAACTTTCACTAGCTTAACAAGAGTCACCATGATAAACGTTATCTGTGATATAACCAAAGAAAAAACAACTGAAAGCGTTTGTGGGTTCCCTTTTAAGAAAGAAAAAATGTTGTAAATATAGAAGAAGCACCTTATCTGATAAGAATAAAATTTCGAAAAAGTGTCTTTATTCACCTGACACTGAGTTATTTATGTTTTTGCTCACACCAACAGTTTAGGTGCATCAGCATGATATATTGGATCTCAGCTAGTTTGTCAATTATTCAAACCGGTAATTAGTAAGTTTTATTGCCAGAATTTTTTGCGTGTGCGTGAATATTTCGGCATATATCTATGAAGGAAAACCTCACACCGGCATTTTAGATTTTCTAGCAACAACTGAAGCATACATAAACGCTAACTTTGCATATACACAAGAACAAGATGGCAGCTAGCCATACGTGTATCCCAACTGTCTGACTAGCTCCTGTCGTTTTCTATCGAGAAAATGTACAGTTCGAACTCGCTCTTGCTCATCCAAACCAAATCAAAATCATCGGCGAAACTAACTATCTTAGCATGGATAACACTAGAGAATTACTTATGAAAAAAGGATCGGAGTACAGCGTCTTTTGTTATGATATCGAAAGAGATGAAATAATATTAGTTAAAACTTCAAACGAAACTGATCTTTATGAATGTGCATTTATGTATGTCGTAAGTATATATCGGATATAGTCTAAAATTTGTTATATAATATGGAATAGCGAATGATGTTTTACTCATTCTTATTGCAGGCGCAGAGAACCAATGCTATCGAAGCACTTTACATACCGTTGATTATGGCAATATCGC